ATTTGTAGTTTGGGTCATCATTTTATCTTGTAATTCAGAAGAATTAATTACCTCATTTAAAGGAGTCGAGTCAGACTCTTGAACTTGTGTCGATTCATGAATGGCCTCTGACTTTCTCATGTAAACCAAATTCTTTCCATATTTTACATCCACTTCAGGTCCAAATTTAGCTACTGGTGTATTTTATTAATTTGACTCAACTTCTACTTCTTCAGCCTCATATGGGTCTGGTACAATTGTGTTTAACTCAAGACCTGAAAGATTAGACCTGTTTGACTGGAAAATGGAAGAATTAACTGGATTTGACTCGAGACTAGAGAGATTGAGTGTGTTTATATCATGACTAGAATGAGAGAGGTTGAATGTATTTGAGTCATGACCAAAATGACCAGATGCGTTTGACTTAATACTAGACAGATTGAGCGTATGACTTTCAAGCTTATCTTCCTTGAAATTCTCCTGAAGATAAGGTTAAGTGAAGTATGGTTCCTCCTCATGAGAGTTAACACCCTGCGACACAAAAATCTTTTTAGATGAAGGATGGAAACACTTATATCCCTTTTGAGTAGAGGAATACCCGACAAAAACACATCTTAGGACTTTTGGGTCGAGTTTTTTTTTTTTCTGTCTTGACTATACACATGGACAAATGAGACACACCAAAAGATTTTAGGTTTAAGATTACTACTTACTGAAAAATTTGAATAGAAGGAAGAAAGAACATCCATAAGACTCTTGAACCATAATAATCTAGAAGGTAATCGATTAATAAGATATGTGCTAGTGAGAACGGTCTCCCATCATAAATATTTTGGAACATTTCGATGAAACAACAGTGCTCGAGTTTGGTCTAATAGGTGCCCATTTTTTCTTTTTGCAATTCCATTTTGTTGTGGTGTTTTAACACAAGAAGACTCATGGACAATTCCTTCTTTTTGACAAAAAGAAGTAAGAACGTGATTGAAGTAATCTTTTCCATTATTAAACCTAAGTCTTTTGATGTTTACTCCAAATTGATTTTTAATCATGTAAAAAAACTTTGGGAAAACAATATTGACGTCAGACTTGTTTTGGAGTAAAAACACCCAAGTAACTCAGGTACAATTGTCTATAAAACTAACAAACCACCTAGCACTTGTTACATTTGGATTGCTAGATGGATCATAAACATCTGATTGAATAAGATGGAAAAGGTAAACGCTTTTAGCAACCTCGCACAAATCACAATGGAGACTTTCAATATCTACCTTATTGAATAAAGATGAAAACAAAACATTAATGACTCCAAAAGAAGGATGATTTAATCGACAATGAGAATGAAATATTTTTTCCTTTTTAGAGAGTACTAACTCTGACATAAATGAGTGAGACAAATGGACTTTTGTACACTTACCTGATTCTTCAAGATAGTAAAGGTCATTCATTTCTCTAGCACGTCCAATCGTCTTTCCCAACTCCTTATCCTAGAATATACAACAATCATATTATGAAAAGTCACACTACAGGAAAAATCGTTTGTAAGTTTTTGTATGCAAACTGAGTTCATGGATAGTTTTGGAACGTGGAGGACCCTTTTTAGGGTTATAGAATGATTTATTTGGATATCTTCAAAGCCAACTACAGTTACAAGAGTACCATCAGCAGTAGATTTTTTTTATTACTGAAACAAGGAGAATGTGTGGAGAACTGGTTCGAAGAGGTGTTTCCGAGACATGAAATCCAAATGAGATTGGAAGCTTACTAGAATACGCCACGCTGCAATCTCCTGATGACTTTCCATAATATTGGTCATAAAGAAAACAGAAGCAACCATCAAATATTTATGTATAAGATATCAAAGAAAACAAGATTCGATAAAAAAAAAAACAACCCAAAAAATGTAGGGACAACGTCTGGTACGGTGCAGACGGCTATTGAAAATCTGCAGAGTTGTACCAACGGTGATAGAAAACTGTACGAACGACTTCCTGAAAGTGTAGAGACAGCGGCTAGATAGACAAATACCAGAAAAAGTACAAAATTGTGCAAATGAAGGCCAGAAAGAACAAATAGTGTTTAATTGAAAAAAAAACTTAACAGCAAGTATTGCCCAGTCAAGATTTAAGGGTTCTGACAACATAAAAATGCCTAGTCAAATCTCTAAATAGTGATTAGCGAAAGTAGAGTCCCTTAGATTAGGATCTATGATGCCATGTGAAAAATAAAAATAAAAAAATTTCTGAACGTGCTTAAGTGAGTAAATCATTCAGCAACTATGATAGTTATACACATTATATATTTAATTACATATTATGTTTACAAAGTGAAATAAATAATAGTCCAACTTCCTAAATGTTGAATTTATATATACATGAATTTAATACTTAAATGCTCATTTTAGCGGAAAATATACCATCTATTTTTTCTATTTCCAACAATATGTGAACCCGATTCGTAATATATATTTGAGATGAGGTTGAAGCCTATGTAAAGATTCTATCATAAATTTAATTACTCATATTATTTTAAAATGAAGCAAAACACCATTAAAATTAACATTTATAGCTATAATTTTGACGAAAATATCAATAATAGTTTTTATATTTTTTATAGCATTTAAAAAATAATAAAATTTTCTATAATTATATTTTTTTGAAGAAATTATAAATTTAAGATATGATATTTTATTATTTATTCATATTACTTATTTTTAGTGTTATAAATATTATTTTGAGTTTCAAATGGCATCACTTTCTTATTAAGTCAAATTAAATTGAACTGGGTTTAACTCAGCCACTCTTATTTCTAAAGTTATCCTCTTGCAAACATAAACATTAAAAAACTATAACTTGAGGTGACTCTTCAACTATAGTTTAGCATAAATAATTGACAAGAAGCTCCAGACTCACTTGGGGCAGATCACACATAAATAAAATAGTTAGCCATCAAACTTGTAGTTGGTTGAGATGGTAATGAAGGACCACACAACCTTAATACACTTCTAATTTCTATACTTTTTCTTAATGGTGGTGGGTTAAGGGAGTTCTTGGTGCATTTATTAGGACAATAATGTTATAAATCAGTGTCCCAACTTTATGTAAAGGGATTAGCTTTTACACTACTTATTTTGGAAGAATGATTTCTAGATCATTTGTTTTATTAGAAAGAAAGAAAAAAACACTTTGGTTTTGGTGAAATAAGTGTTACAATGAGTGGCACTTGATCAAATTATCCAGGTAAAACAAATGTTCCAAAAAATGTACCGGATTTTGAATCTAGAAGACATCTGAATCATGATTCAACCGAAACGAAACTACAATCAAACCAAATCATATGAGTTCATATTCAAAGTTCAACCAGATGAATCGCCAAACAACATGTCACCGACTCAAAATCGTCTACTTCTATAAGAGTTTTTAGACATTAAAGTTAGCATTGTGGTGGGCTTAGGTTTACACTTTTGAGCCTCATGCTGCACAAATTACTATGAGGCACATAATGCAAAGAATATAACATATATTTGAATTAGGCCAACCAAAGAAAAGCAGTCAACAAAAGGAAAAGCAAATGGTAGAGAGTATATAAACAAAGGAAAAGTATGGTGCTACTGTCAGATCAGATTTTGTTAGTTACAGGATATGGATTTTCTTTTCCTTTTCTTATATTATTGCTTTTGATTGCTTCCATGATTAGCCACTAAAACAATTCTTGGGATCACTTCACAAACAAAATTATGCATAAAAAGCAATGATTGGAACAATCTTACAGTAACTTTTATACCAAATATTGAAATCTAGTTGAATTAAAATAGCATGTTCATCATGGATCCTAACTACTTTAGAAGGAAACAAATGAAAGGTTACTTAACTAAATAATAATGAAGTTATCATCAAAGAGACAGAAAAAAGAAAAAGGAATGGTAGAGATTCTCATATGGGAATTTTCATCTGCACAAAAGCAAAGAAAGTAGTATTTGTAGAATCTGTAAGAGTAGAACTTGCAGAATAGAATTCAAACAAAGTTCAGTCCATTGAACGGTAGATTTCCGCGAAACTGGAGGTGCGTTTGAGCCACCAAGTCAAACCAAATAGAAGCTAAGCTATTTTGGTAACTAAACATGAAAAGTGAAACTGCTATTATATATAATCTATAACTGGTTTTCATAAACTATCATAGTTTATGAGAAGAACAAGTTGAAAATGACTATTAAAGAATGTAATAAGTTGTTTTTGTAAGTTCTTCCATGAACATAAATAAACAAAAGTTGTGCATGACAGCAATGGTGATGGAATTACCAATATAAACCATAATAATAGCAGCATACTTTTTAACATTCAGTAGTTCAAGAAGCACTTCAAATGTGGGAAATGAGTTGAATCATGAAGCCAATAGCTATGAAGCACAACAAACACAAATATCAAACACGACATTGAGACTGACACGTTGACTCCAGTAATAATTTGAATTAATTGAATGTAATCACAAATGTCAGTGTCATGTCAAATGTAAGTGTCCGACATTCACACACCCTACGAAGGCCGTAGACACAAGAAGATTAAAAAAGAAAGCATGAAGAGGCAAAGTGCTAAAGCTACTTAAACTAAACAAAAATGTGAGAACACAATCATGATTAGCATTAACATCCATTTCATATCACTAATCAAAAGGATTGAAATTAAAACTATACATATACACCTTTCTTGATCCACCCCACCCCACCACCAAGCTGTAAATACTATAGATTACCCACAATTACCCCCCTTTCTCCCTAGCCTAAAAAAAGAAACAACAGAAACCCAACTAGGTCTCCATTTCATGATTCAACATCCAAACAACTAGTGTACCCTTCCAAGTGCATGTTTGGATTCACAACATGCTACATTAATTTCGACAGAGACAAAACCGTCTGCGATCTCCTCAAACCCGTCGTAATTCCAAACATGCAGCAACCAAGATTTTAGTATTAACAAAAACAGTAATTAACAAAGCTTTTCAAGATGCTAATACTGCAAACTAAGAAACTAAACTCTAAGCAAATAAACACTGAGTTCAGGTGCACCATTGCTATCAGGATTCATCATATAGAAAGCTTCAGAATCTCTAGACCCAACAATTCTCTCAAACCTAGCTCTCATATACATAACTTCCCCATCAGAACAACCACCTTCACCACTTGGCAAAACACCAGCTCCCATTGAAATTGGCTCAACAGCTTTCAAAATCTCCCAATCTTTCTCCCCACATTCTCTTCTATTAGCAAATCCACACTTTTTTCCATTGCAAGAACTCCTCCAAAGAGGCTCTTGCAACAGCCTCAAACTCTTCTTCTCAGTTTCTTTCTCCTTCACCTTGTCACATTCAAGAGCGATTCGAACCAACCCAGAAGCCATTTCACGAACCAAACCAGTGATAGGTGTTGCAAGCTCGATGAGAAAAGCTGGTTGTGAAGTGGGGTCTTTCTGAAACGCGAAATGAACGTGTCCACGACGGTAACCGAAGAGCGTTCCGACAACTCGTGAACCGAGACCAGAGGGGAGATTTGAACGGTTCTTGTTGAAGACTGTTAGAACAGAGCGAAGCCTTGAAATTGCTACTGCTTGAAGCTTCTTCCTTGCTGTTGCTGAATGTCCTGAAACAACTTTTTCATCGTCGTTTTTGGTCTGTTCTTGTATGATTTTTGACATGGTTGAGGGTTCTTCTGGTTCTTCATTTCCAACTTTGTTTGTCCAATGAAAGTGTCTCTTGGAAGAAAGATCTTGAGGGGTTAACGTTGTGTTTGTGTTTGTGTCTTCCATGTTTGGTGTTTTCATTTTCAAAGAGAAAAAAAACGAAGCTTTAAGAACAGGAAGTAAAGGGACAGAGAGAGAGACGGAGAGAATGAATCTTAGTATTTGTTTTGATATGTTGGGGATTTTATTTATTTATGATTTAATTTAATTAGTAGTAATAATTAATTGATTATGTTGTGATTCTAGCTATCTTTATTCTGTTGTAAATAATCACTTTTGATTACTAGTGAGGGCAAGAGAATCGTGACAAAAGAAACATAGGTAGTCCCACAAGGTGATATAGGAAATGAGAAAGAGAAAAACTTGGATAGAGTGTGATTTTTTAATAGGAAAGAAAGGAATCTGAGGAGACAATGTGTTTGTTATTTCACTTTCTTTGTGGGGTAGGTAGAGAGAGATTTTTTGTGAGAGTGATTGAGAAGGGTTTTTGTCATGTTTGTGTTTGAATAAGCTCTTTTAACTTGGTGCTAAAAAAGGGTAAGAAAAGAAGATTAAATATAATGTTAAAGCTAAAACAAACAAAACACTAAGCCGTCACTGTTCTACTTAGCACTCTCTTTTGCTGCATAGATGTCTACAGTTTAATGGCGCATAGGGTCACATCAGGTTAAGGATTGCTGAATTTTCATGCCTCATGTTGGCTACAGAGACTACATTATATGTACCTACAAACTGACATTTCATTGTAGTGTAGAGTTATCCCCACTAGTACTCAATCCTACTACCATGATAAAAAATTTGGTCCTTATCTCCAATAATATAAACTGTGAAAACTTACTTAGATTTAGGTTAATACAGACATGTTTTTAGGATAACTTGAAAGGATGTCTGTACAATACATTTGTCTCCTAATAAGATGAGTTCATTCACTATAATACCAAATAGATGGATGGTGAGAGAATTTTAAGTTATCATCATTCACCTCTGGCTATTTTTAAGATTCTCCCATATTGATGTGGATACAAAAGAAATAATCAGAACATAATAATGGCTTCTACATGTTTAATTGTTTGTTACAATGAAATGTAGCAAGTAACTACAGTCAGACTCTAGCTAGGAGCTGTTAGTGTGTAGAAGATACCAAAAAAGTAAACGATAATTACAGGTGATTCTAAACAGAAGAGGATTTTCGTGAACTTTCACTAATTTACATTGACTAGCAAGTATGGTTTTATCCATAGAATACAAATGGAGAGCATATCCACATTGGCCAGCAAACTAGTGAATGGTTTTTGTACACAACTGAATGCATAGGAAGCACAGACAGGAGCCAGGCACTTCTTTGATTCAATCTTAACTAAGGTCCTAAAGTTAGCTATCTAAACTTTGTCAGGCTGCTTAGAAGCAATGACCCCACCATTCATCCTAGCACGTGCCTCTGCAAACATCCTTTGTTGTTCTGCTAATGCTTCTTCCTCAGTCATCTCAGCTCCATTGCTCCATTTACCACCTTTTAAGGAATCCTGCTGAAATATCAAAATCTCTCAGAAACTAGTTTTGAATTTTGAAAGTAAACTCATGCAATGGCAATAACTGAATCTAGATTAATTTAAACACTTCAACAGATGCGGACACTCCAGTCTCTCGATAACTAGAACGAGCATTCATGTAATGAAATTCATAACACTCGTGAATTCAAATAAAACACATGGGTTAGCTTTTGTATGAGCACAATGATCCTTCTTACGTCACAAATGCAGAATACGCAACCATTGTTTTTACAATTTTAACAACCAAAGATAACACAGGTCATGCTTTCAAATGGCATGCTGGAAACACCCTGTGGACGGGAAAAAGCATTGGTGAGCATAATAGTCAAATTACTACCTAATTAACATTGTTCCAGTGTACACATAGGAACCATTTCCTCAGGTCTCTATGGTTTAGGTTAGACCGGAGCCATAGAGGGTTTGGGGATTCTCTATCAGAGAACCATCAATAAGCCTACAGTCCATCTTTCATCAGTCCCCAATGTAAAAACAGAAATTCTGCTTCCACTAGACTGCCCAAGAAAAATGGAAGATAAACAGCCAAAACCGGTTCAACTTTAGGAACCACTCTGTCATCTTTTGTTTTCATAGCAAGTGTTTATCTATTTGGGGGGAAAGGTGTGTGATATGCTAATCTGTGTGATACTACTTGATATACAGCATGCATGTGGGACATTCTTATTCAGAAGTACCATGGTCTCCAATTTGTGTTGTTCATATGCTGCATATACTTCTTCTACGTACTCGCTAAATCCAAGCACCTGGAAAAAGAAAAAATAGCAAATCAATAAATAAAATCACAACAGGTTTTGTTTAAAAGCATCTGATGAGTCCACTATTGAAAACATCGTATACATGTTATATGCTGTTTTTGTAACACTAACTTCAATAGGAATTAAATGAATTTTTTAATTGACATTCCTAAAAGCTAAAATATGTATGTAACGATGCATATTGTTGTGATTCATTATCACCAGTTTGCAGGAAACAGAGTATAACATTAACTGAAAATGGACCAACTGCTACTCCACTTCAAGAAGAGGTAAATTTTTAATCAACAAAGAATGGCTTTAATCAAGTATTGAGTAATCAAATTTCAGGTATCGGAAAGCTTGGCTTAAGTCTCTTTACAAATAATAGTGCGATGAATTGAATGTAGTTCCAATTTTGACAATGAAGGCAAACATGTGTTCTTCCAAATCAGTTACGGTAAAGAGAGGAATGAAGAAGTTGTTGCTAATTTACTATTTACTAATAATTGATTAATAAGTGAACTAACTCCTAAACTATAGCTTGTTTACACCAAATCATTAAGAATCTTTTCCATACATAGCACTCCCCAAAATAATTGAAGGTCCCATATGAACATTGAAACATAATAGGAAAATCTTGAACAAGAACAAGATGCAGAACTATGGATATATACCTGTAGAGCCTTCAATACGTGCTCAGGTGCAATAGTCCGTTTGTCCTCTCTACTACAGACTTCATTTGACTCTGATGAGATGAGATTTATAAACTCTACAATAAAAAAACAAACAAAATCTTATTTAGTAAACAAAAATCAAATAGCCACAAAACATCATCAAATATAAAAACTATATGGCGAGTATAAATGTGCTAATCAGTTATCACCAAAAAAATACTATTAAACTGTAGTTTCTAGTGATTATGGACCATACGATATGTTATGGTAGGTGGATCACAATTCCTCGTATTTAAATCTAAATTAGCCCTAATAACATATCAGAACCGTGTATCATCAACAAATTGTGCAACCAAAAAGAAATAATAAAAAAATATCAGTGATGACCATTTAAATTATAATTCATGCAAACCACTTGCGGACATAACAGAATAGCAATAGCATGTTCTTCAATTTGTTGCAACTGAGATGCACACTAAAACTTAGATAAACAAAACCCAGAAATAGAATCAGTAACTCAATAAATTTACATAAATACAACCCCGAATAAAAGATTTAACTCGATAAACAAAAAATCCTGTGAATCAGATACATAGATTGTGATATTCTAACCTACACAACACTCAATCAATAAATCTTGGGCGTCTCTTGCAACTCGTACATCTGGAGGTAACATCTCTTTAATTATCTTTGTCATTGTCGCTGTCAAGAAAGTAAAGCATTAGTAACCTATAAGAAAAATCATGCACTAGAAGTAATTCATATAACCGTTACAAAGTGCAGCCAAAACTTCCGATAACCATCAATTTAAAAAGACTAATTTTCACAAAACAACTATATATAAAATAACCTAAGTTTCATAAAATTGCAAAGGGAAAAACATATAACTGGAAAACCAAAATCCATGCAGATAATTAAGACATAAATGTGCATGTTTGGAAACAGACCAAATTAAAGACTCTGATTTTCCAATTATATCATCGTCATTCAATTTTCCAGAGAGAAACAAAATTCATATACACAGGAACGAATCGATTCAATCACATTAACCGATTAAAGAAATAATTAAAATCGAAAGAAAAAAAAACCTTTAGGAAGCGAAGCGTCTTCCTTTGATTTGCCAACGATATCCATGGGTTCCATGATTGATTTAACCTAAAAAAATTAAAAACAAAATTAGAAAAAAAAATGAAAATTAGAGATCTTGAAATTAGAGATTTGAAAAGAGAAAGGAAAATGAATGTTACCGATTGAAGATTCTTGTAGCGTGAAGACGATGAGGGGAAGGCATGGTTGATTGATGTATGAATTTATGAAGAATGTGTTTTGAGAAGATAAGAGAGAAGCAGTTTTTGATCGCATGCGATTAGGGCAACACACACTACCAAAACGCGTTTACCACTTACCCTAAGCCACGCGCATCATGCGCGTGATTCGTGTTTTGGGGTCCACAGAATGTCCGATTCGTAATGCAAACGGGTTCTCATTCATGTAAAAATAACGTTTTTTTATTAAATAATTAAGTAGTTTTTATATAAAAGAAACTTAGATTTTTATATTTCCGATGGAGTTAACTATTGTGTTAAGGTATTTTATATCTGAGAGGATATTGTTTTTTAAATATTTTTTTATTGTATACAATCATGTTCTGATTAAGTAGTGAGGGTAATGATTTTTCCTTTTTAATATAAGGGATATGGTTAATCGGTCATTGATACTTGAAATTCTTTAGTTATGGTTGGAAATCTCTTGTTAATTGTTGGATGTATATATTGTTTAGGGATAGAGTGACCTAAAAGATCTAATAGTATATAATGTCTATTTTAAAGTTCAACTTAAATTAATATTAGTTATAATTATAAAATTTTAAATAATTAAAATAAAATTGAGATTAATAACTCTATTTATTTATTATTATTTTTGTAAAGAATTCTTATTATTTCTAATAAAAATCTTTTATTTTTCCTTAAAACATTATTATTATTATTATTTTATTTTTTTGATATGCAAATAATAATAATAAAAATTAAAACTCAGCATAAAAATGTATAGAATGAAAATAATATTAAAGAAAAATGAAATTAATTTAAAATGAAAAATAGAAATGAAATGAAATTATTTAAAATGAAATGAGCCTAAAATTAAGAATTAAATAGAAATGAAATTGATTTTTCTTTAAACAATGAAACAATAATTGATTTAAAAATGGGATTAATTTAAAAAATGATATATAATTGATTTTAAAAATGCAATGAAATTAATTTAAAAAATGAAATATGATGAATGAAAAAATGACACATGATTGATGAAATTAATTTAAAATAAAAAATGAAAAACCTTTTTTTTCTATTAATTCCTAGTTATTCCAATTTATCCTTCATGAATCAAAGAGCGCGCCACATGATATTTTCCTACAAAAATCAACCAACTACACGAACTTGTTAGTGACGGGTTAAATGCAAAAATGCAACAGAATGCGAGATGATTCGACTAATCTTAGGGCAAAATTTGGGGTATTACATTAATGGTTTAGGACCTTCAAATCATATAAAGGATAGCAAACTCGCGTTTGCGTCTATCACGTGACATCGTCTGACTTCTACTTAGTGATTTATGTACTATTTTGAGTTAGGGAATTAATACATCGAAACATTTGATATTTATTGGGCTTGGATTGAAAAATATCTGTTAACAGACTTTAGAGCACAAGACTTACAAAGGTGAAGTGGTTAAGTGAGAAAACATGATGTGAATGTGAGAAAAATATATAAAAAAAAAGAAGGTTGAATTATGTTAGATTTTTCTTTCTTTTTGGAAATATCTTATTAAATTGAACACAAAGTCTAAAATCTAAATCAGAATTAAATGTTTAGCAGCAGATTAAAACAGTTCAAAGGTAGAAAGAAAATAAAGAGAGGCACAAGCAATTATTCTGGTTTCTCCTACAATTCGAGAGTAGTTCAGTCTCTTTGTACTTTTAGAGAATTTTACTATAACCAAAATTGATTACAATTGCTCAAGCACAAAGCAGAAGACTTTTAATACTCAAACACATAAGTAAGAGACTTCTAATGCTCAAGCTCAAGAGCAAGAGTCATCAGATGCTCAAGCATACAAGCAAGAGACTTGTTAAACTCTAACTTTCAGTTAAGAGATTATGAAAAACTACACATGATATACAATTAGAGGTGTAGACAAAATACAACAAAAAAATCCTTTAAGACTTAAGAATTTCTAAGATATACAAGTTGTTCTGGACTAAGCCAGAGGCTGCCCCACCGTCGGGCACAGCCCAACCCAAACCCTCGGCGAGAAGGACCTAATGAAGGCTTAATTCATCATCTCACACAAGGACCTCTCACGCATCTCCCCCACTGTCTCTATGTGCTCCTCACGCAGGGATATGTCGTCAATCAACTATATGCATCCGAGAGAATAGGTACTCCACCTTCCGAAGTTCACGGGACAGTTGGATCAAGAGGAAGATCACGTGCTGGTCTTCCATACGCCACGTAGATCTTAGCAGTTATTTGTATTGGGCCTAATGATCCAATCCAATGCAAATAATTGTTGACATAACATTGGGGACACATTATAAATATTTTTTTGTGTTTGCTTTCTCTCTCCCGCTAAAACTTACTTTGACTTTGAGTGCCTTGCAGGTACACCCCTTCATCTTCTCCACCATTGATGAACTAAAAGCTCACGACGCGTTGCTGACTGTTGATCTCTTTCTGGTCCAGTAAGATCACAAGTGTTAAGAAATTATAAGTTAAATCTATTATTTTGATATGACAAAGTAACAACTCTTTTGAATGTCAATAGTTTAGTTATTTTTCTTCAAGGCTTCAGCTCCTTATAGAGAGAAGAAAAATACTCATTGAAGAGTTTTCGCAAGAGAGTATTTGAGAAGCTTGACTCAATGATGTTGAGATGTTTTTTGATATGGTTAATACCGTTGAAATATCATTTGAAATCCCTTTGCTACAAAAGGAATTATATGTTGCATCCCAGTTGTCTTGTGCAGTTTTTTATTTAAGTTTTCACGTGATCAGAAGAAGATAAAATATCCTTAGAGTCTAATAGTGACCTATTAAAATCTCCTTGATCCTTGTGTTGAATGGATTTTCAGAGTCTGGATCTTCAAAGTCTGAATCTTCAGATGTTGACTTCACTCAGAGTCTGAGTCTTCACAAGTTGGTATTCAACTTCTAATCTTTCAGAATCTGGATTTTTAGTTTCTCTTTAAATGTCCATTCTTAGTACTAGTATTAAGTTATCTTCAAAAAAATTATTCTATAGTCTTAAGCACTTGAACATTTGTTAGTATATCCTATTATTTTTTAAATACTTTGTTATCATCAAAATCTTAAAGATATGGTACAAACTAATTTTGTTCCAACAATCTCCCCCTTTTTATGATAATAAACATACGTATTTAAGAATAATGGTTGTTAATTTAATTAACTAATTGACTTCAGGGTGTGAGGTTTATAAGCTCCCCTAGAGTCTAATAGTCTAAAAAGTGTGGTTTATAAGCTCCCCCTAAGTTATATCCAGGTTAATTAAATTTAATCTTTAAATCATAATAAATAATTCTTCATACTTTTAAGCAAAAATAATTCTTAACTATCAGATTCAATTGCTTAAATACTTATATATCTACTTCCCATTTTGTCATCAACAAAAAAAAAGAATAAAAGAAGAAGAAAAAGATGCTGAAGAAAAATAATGTTAAAACCAAACAAAAGAGTTGTCATATTACATAGAAAAATCAATTAAAATAATAACTTCAAAATTGGGGTGTTACATGCTAGACGTTTTGGACTACTGTGATACGGCATACCACAAATGTTGTTTCCATTGTTGTTATTATCATTCTGATTGTTATGATCCATGTCAACCATGTTTTCTCATTTTAAGACACACACACACACACACACACACACACACACACACACACACATATATATATATATATATATATATATATATATATATATATATATATATATATATATATATATATATATATATATATATATATATATATATATATATCATTCTTTCAGTTTTAGGATCGAATAAAAGGTGTTCTGATGGGTCTTTTCCTCATATAAATAATTAGAACTAGCTAAAACTATTAGTAAGTTAATGACTATAAACATAAAATACAAAATTTAACATATATGAACAAAAAACTTAAAATGATACAAACTATTGAGATGTCTTTAAAAACTAACGTCAATCCCCGACAACGATGTCATTTTGTTGGATAGCATTTATGGTAAGCAATTGGAATATTGTCGTATTCATAGAGATTGCACTATTACGCGAAACACATATAATAACGGTTGAGAAACACATGTAATGACGATTTCATGTTCGTTGTTAGGTAGCGTGCGATTGTATGTATGTTGGTTTCCACAACGAGCGAGTGACTTGATTATAAGTTAGGCCGTGTGTTATTTATAACAACAGGTAAAGAAAATAACTTTTGTAAAATAATTTATAGGTCCTAGGTTCGCGTCCCAACAATGTCATTCTTACATTTTAACATTTCATCACGATTATATGTACCAACCATGGTGGTATGAGTATGATTTTATTATAAAATATGAGATTGTTTGTTTTTCCCTGCCCCTCACTAACCATATACAATCATTCAAATAGATTTTTGAGATAATAATCAGAAAAATTAAATTATTCTTGAAAAATAACTTAAACGCTCAAATATTTTTCGAATTGCATGCATCTTGTAATTCATAGTTTTCTCATTAGCCCATATAATTTGATTTAATCCCAAATTTTTCAAAGTAATAACGATCAATGGGTGTCTTCTAAGTCTTTCACACAAATTTTGATTTCTTTTTTTTTCTACTTTATTTTGCAAACATCAAATTTTGTGTGAAAAACTCTGACATCCATTTATTATCATTGTTATAAAGAATTTGTGACATTGAATCAAATTCTATAGGCTAAATAGGAAATCATGATTTACAAGATGCGTGAAATTCAATAAACATTGGATCGTCTAAGTTGATTTTCAAGAATAATTTGTTTTTTTCTAAATATTATCTCAAAAACCTATTTAAATGAATGCAAGTTCAATGAGGGATTAGTAAAACAAGCAAACACGTACA